GCGGAGCGCAGCCTCGGCGCGACGTGGAAGGCTGGAGGCGGCGGCGATGCACTAGGCCTCGCTCTGGGGCGGCTGCCCGGGACCCGCAGGTAGGTGTCGGGCCGGCCCCCCTCGGTCCCCAGGGCTTCGCGGCCCACCCTCACCCCGACCTACTACGGAGAGAGGAACGGAGACCCCACCCCCTCTGTCTCCTCCTCCCGGGCCCGAAGTGGCCAGAGTTTCGGTCACAGGTGATCGGCTCTGAAGCTTCCATTCTCCCCTCCGCCTCCTGCTCTGCCTTTTCACTCTGTCCCCGGAGACCCGGCCGGCAGCGGTGCTCCCACCCCCTGTCCGCGGCCGCCCTGCCGCTCTCGCCCCCCTTGCCCCTCTCAGGGATCTGGGATCCGGAACTTCCACCATCCCCCGTAAATGCTGCCACCAAACTTTCCCATTCTTTTTTCACCAGGGCCCTTAGCTCCCTTTTGATTCTAGTGCAGTAATTTAAATTTTATTTTATTTTTTTCTCCTCGGGGAAGACTAACCCAAAGAATAATTCGGTGTTCTGATTTTTGCGAATTTAGCTGAACGCAGTATTTTGTTCAATAATTAATTTTCTTCTCCTGTTCTGCTTCCTTCCATCTCTGCATCCATACAAAAAGCAGGCCTCCCCTGCCCTCCCGTCGTTGACGTGAGAACTTTTGCCTGCCCATTATAATTAGCCACTTGATCTGTCCATGTGCTAAGTTTCAGGGATAGTAATTTTAGAAATTTGGCTGACCCGGGTTGCAAAAAAAAAAACTTTTTTTAAAATCCTTTTTTTAAACTAGTTTTATCTTTGGTCTTTATGAAGGCTGTCCTTATTTTCGAACAATTAAAATTTTTTTTCTTCTTTTTTTACATTGGCTCTGTTTCTGATTTGTCACACCCAGGACAATGTAATAGTAAATGCTTACAAGGCAAGTGATGTCGTGATAACTTAATTGTAGTATCCTGAGAAAATGTGTTTATAACTTAACACATTTTAATGTTTTTAGTGACTTAAACTGCAGATTTTGATGGACATTCAGGGTGACTTTTGTATATGTTGGGGGAGGGTAAGTTTTAGTTGGAAAAGTACCTTGGGATCTCTAATGATTTCTAAGCAGTTATGATGAAACAGATGGAATGATGGGATTTGTTTATTTGACTGTATTTGTATTGCAGTAGGGTCTGATTTCCTAGAAATGAGTTATTACTTGATTGCTCATAGTGATCATTGCCCATGATAGGTTTTGGTAAAAATAGTATGTGCAAATTTTGGATAATTGGTAGTTGTGGTTTGAGGGATTAGATGTTTGCAATTTATTGTGATTTGGCTATTTTTAAATTATACTCTGGTAATTTCAGAATTATTACACTACCATTCTGAGAGAAATTACAGTCTGAGGCTCACTTTTAGATGAAACGACAAATGTTTTAATGGCTTTCTTTATAAAGAACGCATCAAAACAAAACTGTCGATATTTTTTTGTTGTGGTTGATATTCATATATGTTGTCCTTGTAGAGGTATTGTTACTATAGCGTTTGGCTTTCTGCAGTGTTTTTCATTCCTTTGAAAATTATAACTTGTAAAAGTACGTAAAGTTTACTAGGAAAAGATGATTAAACTTACATATGTTTATGTATTGTGGAAATGTTAACGATTTATTTCTGGATAGGTAATTTAAGTTTTTATGTCAGAATTAATAAAATCTTATGTAACTCATGAAATGGCAAACTTGGCAAAATTTGTTCTTACTCACAATGCTTTTTCTACCAATTAAAAAAAAAAAACCAAACCCACTGCCTTCAAGTCAGTTCCTACTCAAAGCGACTCCATAGAGTTTCCAAGGCTGTACATCTTTACCAAAGCAGACAGCCACATCTTTCTCCCAGGAGCAGCTGGTGGTTTCGAACTACTGACCTTTCAGCTAGCAGTCAGCACTTTAACCACTGCGCCACCAGGGCTCCTGTTTTCTACCAGTAAATGATTGAAATTCCTTTTTCCAGCTCTTATTTTTTTTAACAACTTTATAGAGATATAATTAATATACCATAAATGTCACCCTTTAAAGTGTACAATTCAATGGTTTTTACTATATTTATAGAGTCGTGCAACATCACTATAGTCTAATTTTAAAAGATTTTCATCACCCTGAAAAGAAACCATTAGCAGTTACTCCCCATTTTCCCCACCCTACTCCCAGCCCTAGGCAGCTACTACTTTCTGTCTCTATATATTTGACTTTTGTGGGCTTTTCATATACATAGAATCAGCTCATAGCTGCTTTTTTTTTTTTTTAATTGTGCAGTAGGTGAAAGTTTACAGAGCAAATTAGATTCCCATTGGATAGTTTGTACATAAAGTGTTTCATGGCCTTGGTTTCATTCCCCACCATGTGTCAGCACTCTCCCCATTTCTGCCCTGGGTTCCCTGTTCCCTTTTCATTCACATTTTCTACCCCATCCTGCCTTCTCGGCTTGGCTTTTGGGCACATATTGCCCTTTTGATCTTGTATATTTTGTTTGTTCAAAGAAGCACGTTCCTCTTGGGTGTCATTGTTTATTTTATGGGCTTGTCTGTTTGGCTAGAAGGTGGTCTCTGGGAATGGCTTCAGTTCCAGGTCAAAAACCTATTTTAGGGCCATACTCTCAGGGGTTCCTCCAGTAGCTCATAGTTCTTGAAAAGTTTTTCTTTTAAAATTAATTTATATGTTTAAAATTTTTTATTTGGGTTAGAATAAGCTGCTGATCATTGGCATTAAAAGCAATGTTATAACCAACTGACATACATGTTTGGTTGTATTAAGCACAGATTAATATAAAGTTTGTTAGCATGAATGACTTCAGTGACCTCTAGAGGTGGTCTTGCCAGCTGGGAGTCAATAAGTAAAAGTTGGAGGATTTTTTTTTTTTGCCATTGAATATTAGAATATCAGGATTGGAAAAGCCTTTAAAGATCCTTTCTTACTTCCTGCTTGCCTCACAAATAGATGGCAACAACCAAATGAGGAAATCCGCAGAGTAGAAGCTTGAATGTCTAGGATGCATGCCACAGGGGTTTGGAAGTTAGATTGTTTAGGTTCTTGTATGTATGTATGTAATTTGGTATTTTATTAACAGAATAGGGAAAGAACTGGACATTTCCCCAACTTTTGTGTGTGTTTGTGTGTGTGTGTGTTTGTGTGTGGCGGGGGAAGTTACGTATTGACATAGATGAAATCCATGTTAAAAATCCTCTAAAAATGCTTTATTCTTGTTATAATCAAAAGGAGGATGACATATTTATTATTTAGGTGTCTTCTTGTACTTTAATATTAAAAAATTTTTTTGAAAAACAAATTTTAAAAACAAAAATAATTTTCTAAAAATTGTAATTGACAGACTAGTTGAAAGCCTTCTTTTTCAAAGACCAAGGACCTTGTTTTGCCCTGCAAAGGACGTTTGGCAGTGTCTGGAGACATTTTTTTTGGCCCTGGTGGCACAGTGGTTAAGTGTCTAGCTGCTAACTAAAGGGTCAACAGTTCGAATCTACCACCTGCTCCTTGGCAACCCTGTGGGGCAGTTCTGCTGTGTCCTATGGGGTCGCTATGAGTTGGAGTCAACTTGATGGCAAGGGTTTGGTTTTTGGTTTTTTTGGAGACATTTTTGGTTTTCACAACTGAAGGGGTAGTGGTGCTATTGTCGTCTAGTGGGTAGTGACCAGGGATGTTGCACAGGACACCACCACCACTGCCCCCCCGTCTCCCCTCCCCAAACAAAGAAATGTAATAGTGCTGTTCTGGTAATAGCCTGAGCTAGTGTTCCTGACCCCACCAGGTGGGAAAGTACTCTCAGTGGGCACTGTTTGGTGGATTAGATTAATCCTTAGATCCTCTAGCAACTCTCTTTCTCTAATCTGATTATCCTCAAATCTGGAGAAACTTTTTTTTTCTGAAAATGGGAATCTCATTTTACTGTAATTTTCAAGTACTTTTATGAAGTTTTGAGTTGTTGGTTATGGATGCAAAGGTTTTTGAAATTGAAAATAGATGCATAGTAATATCTTCTTTATCCAGAAGTGATTTTTTTTTTGGCAGGGGGGTTGGTCTGGCAGCCTCAACTGCCAAGAAAGAGAAGTAAGCTAAGTGTTTACATACATACTTATATATGTGTGTGTTGTGAATGTCCAAAAAAATCCAAAGTTTATGGATTATGAATCTCTCTTTTTTTTCCTGTAGGCCCCACTTTTGACTCTGTTTTTTAACAAGCATAATTGGTATTGAAAGAAGAAAAGATTGACCATTGTGGTCACTTTTGCTGTTTACCACCTTATGACCTTAGATGAGTTACTCAATCTTTCTGAGCCTCTGTTTTCTCATCTATAAAATAGGGATAGTGATAATTCCTGTATTACAAGATTATTGTGAAAATTAAATGAGATAATGTGTGTTTGGATGCTATTTTAAGTATTAAACACTGTATAAGAGTTAAGTTACTTGTTTTAGAAGAAGCAAATTAGATAAGGGATATAGAGGTTTCCAAAGGCAGGAATGTGGATAGCATGGCAGAGCAGTGACTGGTGACAGGCTCTCTAGGTAAAAGAGAGAAATACTATATATACATATGTGCGTATATGTGTGTGTGTATATATGTATGTATGTGTGTGTGTATATATATGTACATATATATATCAAACTAGTAAAAGAACTAGTATGTCACTGTAATCTAAGGCTCCTTATTATAGGGGCAAACTGATTTCCTTCAGCAACACCTGAGAGTATCAGTATTACAGCACAGTTAATATCTGATGATTCTAATGGTGAAACTAGGTTATCAAGAAAAGGTTACTTTGTTTTCAAAATATGCTATTTGAGAAGACATGAAAGTGTATAACTGATTTCAGAATTAAGCTTTTTTCAAGAGTAAACTGCAGTTATCTGGATTAATTCCCTTGTTGGGAATAATTCTTTCTGTCTTTATTTACTATGCGTGCCTTCCTTTAGATTTCAGGGCTTATTCTACTACTGGTAGTTGCTCTTCAAATGTGAGGATTTAACTGAAGAAATCTGGGATTTTTAAGCCTACTGACTATTTGCAGAATCTTATCAG